AATCACTTCAGGCGTTCCCTACAAGTAAAGTGGGCAAAAATCTTGAACTCCACTTTATGTATGAGGATTTCAGGAACAACATGGTTACCTTCTCTTCTTCACATGGTTTTGGCTCCAACTCACAGATTTCCTCCTCTGGAATCACCCCACTCTCATCAAGAGGCACCATTTCTTCTGCAGGGACAACCCTTTGTGGTATGAGTACTGGGGCAGCCTGCAACGAGCGATTCTGAGTCCCACCCAGCTAGTTTTTGAGAAAGTGACAGGTAAGCTTTGAATGAGAGTAAGCACCTTTTCACTGTGCCCGTCTTTGATCACCTTCTTCTTGACGGCTTTGGCAGCTTCTTCTTGCTCGATTCGCAGTTGTTCAGCCTTTTCCTCTTCTGTCATCAAAGACAGATCTTTTGTGTATGTGATCTGAAAACGATGATTACTTCCCACTAAAGGCTTTTCAGGAACACTAACTAACTGGTAAGCAACTTGAGTAATCGGAGTTACCTCACGATGTGCCTCCGGCTTTTCATCAGGCTTTTCGATAACTTTTGGAACTACTGGAAGTTCGATCGTTGCCTCGACCTACAACAATGTTATGCTGAGCACATATCAAGCAGGAAAACATTGACATAGCTGTCACAAGTTGGTTTGGGAAACAACGAAAGCTCAAATCCACATAAACAAAAAGCTGCCATTAAATGTAATTCTATGTAAACAAAAGCAGAGATAAACTGTGATCACAATTACTATCAATTTGTCGGGAACTGTAGGATAAATCAAGGGCGGTATGTTTGTTAAACTGGGCCAGTAACTGGGAACACTCAAAAAAGGCGATCAAACTGGTAAGGTGAAAGTTTATGGCACTCCAGTGAAGGTGTGGGGCAATCCAGTGGCGAAAGGCTCAATATTCAGCTCTAAGGTCAGCTTCACTTCTGTTCCTTCGGTCTCCCTTTAGGGACCGTCTCGGAACCCCCACTACTGTACTACCAGCTCCCTTTTACCTTGAAACCATTGGGGCCCGTACGACATTGGAAGGATTTCTAGCCAATGGACGAAAGCTGTTTTCAAATATGAAGACAAAAAATGTTGCTCAAGTCTCTCAGAATGTTCTGGACTATCAAAGTTGCTTTGGAGATAGTATTTGCCGGAAATCGGAACAGTTCATACTCCAAGAAGAAGGGAAGTGGAACTGGGAAGAAATACAGCTGAATCATGAACGAGGCCTAGCGCTTGGGATGAATCGCGGAATTTGCCTCAGAAGCGAAGCATTTCTGCGAATTTCCAAGGAAATCTTCTGCTAGTCCTTCACTGGAAAGCTGTTGACCCTAGTCTCTTTCCCAATCTGAATTGAAATACTCTAAAAAGTCCAGAAAACGATGGATGATTTATGAACTTGAACTAACGGTTCCAATAGAAATTGTACGTACTACAACAGAGATCCCTCCAATATCGAAAGCCCATGCTATACCAATCCTACTAGCCTAGTATTACAAGTTTTATCGACTAGAGAGTAATCCTACAGGACATGGGAAGAGGAACTAGATTGGCCATCAGGGAAGACCTGGGAAGCCCGTGAAAAGTAGTGGGTAGGGCACAGCTGACTCATTCAGACTGTCATTCTTTTTGTCCGAAATGAAAGGAACTAGAGAGATACGAGACTGCTCTTTATCATTCCATCCAGGGACGCCTACCGATTCATTTTCCCGTTTCCGACGAGTTTGGATCAGAAAAATTTTTTGCAAAAGGAGAAAAAGGAAGGAGGTCAGAT